AATGGCAAAATATTTACGTGGGTTCCAGCCACAGAGCTGCAGCACTTTGGGAAATGGTTTTGTGCTCTGGATAGAAAAGGCATTAAGATAAATAAACTTAGCATTGCTAAGTATTACAGTAAACTTAGCACCTTCAAAGGAGTCATTAGGTAGGAATTGTTAATATTTCATCTGTTGGCAATGAAACTAAAGTTGTGTAATTCAGGTATAAATCATAACATGCAAGTGTGTGGGCCTTAAGAATCCAGGAAGAATTGAGGTTTTATGAAGCCTCAAATTCTATTTTAATAATTCCCCAAACAGTGCATTTAAACGTAAATCAGCATGAGAATAAATATGTATTGGCTAATTAATTTAGAACACAAGAGTGGCAGCACATACCAGCCAAGAGTCTGTTTCACTGCATTTGGTGTGTGTTTTGTGCATTGAATTAGTGTTTAGTTCTTACAGTTTGTTTTCTAGTTCAAAAATAGAAGAAATTTCCTGCTCACCTGAGGGAATCCCTATTTTTTTCTTGTCCTATTAGGCTAGGAAAAGTCTTGGTTTTCTGCTGTTTGAAACCTTTTCTTGGGTGAGTTTTTCTCTTTTTATTGGACAAGTTATTCTAGTAGTTTTTAATGCTGCCAGTGCAAGCAAAAGGTGTGCAAATAAAATGAAAAATTACTGTCATTATGTGACATCTCTCTTATGGCTTAGCTGGGGTTGAACTGAACAGAAAGAAATATTTTACTTTGAATTACTAATTTTCTGTGTAGGTAAATTCTTTGGAAGGGAGCACTAAATCTGAATCCTTCAATTCCCAGCCACTTAACCAAGTGATAAATACAGAACAAGCTGGTTAACTTTGGAATGCATTTTGTTCCTGAGAGCAGAGCTGTGCTTGGTCTCTCGTCTGAATTTAGTGAGAATTGATTTTACCGAGGTTGCTGAGCAAACCTTAGGACAGGTTTACAGTCAAAATCCTCTCAGGTTAGATGAGTGTGAGCCCATGGAGATGTGTAAATTCAAATCCACTTCCTACACTCACTGACATGTAAGAGGAGAGAGAACAGAAAAATGCCACATATCCACCCGATGGAGCTGCTGGGAAAGGCTGGGCTGATTCTCAAAGCATGGGTGAAACAAAAAGCTGTTTTCAGATTTCTTCCTGAAAAAGAAAAGCTGTTAAGTGCACTTAGATCTCATTAGTCATTTAACCTTCACTTGCAGGAAGTGGGATTTGAAACACATGAGAAATGCGTGTTCTTAAAATACCAACATCCTTAGGGCATGGGACAGGGCAGAAATCATGCAAATTCAGTGACCCCACACCAGTGGCAGGTATGTTATAGTGAAAATATTGCAATTTTACTCTGAATAAGCATCTCTTCTAAAATAACAAGCATGCGCTTTTGCTCCTCTGTGCAAGCAGCTGCTCCTCCTGGGCAGGAGGGCTCGAGCTGGCTGCATTCCCCAAGCCATGGCACCTCCTGCACTGTCCAGGTGCCCAGCCCTCCCTGGCACTGCCACCTCGATTGGAGCTGCTGGCAGTTGCCACTGCCCTGTGCAGGCAGGAGGAAGGTATTTCCTACTAAAAATAAAAATAAAAATAAAAATAAAAATAAAAATAAAAATAAAAATAAAATATATTAGAAAAAAGCAGGCATATCAAGTGTCCATGGCAATGCCACTGTTTTTCCCACTTGCTCAGCTCCACCCTTGGCACCTTTTGGGCTGCTCCTCCCCAGTCTCCCCTGCTCCTGCTGTGCTCTCCCAGGAGCTCCAGTGGCCCCAGCAGCTGCTGCTGCAGCTTTCTTTCTGGATTTGGAAATCTTTCTGTCCCATAAACAAGCAGAAGTGCTTCAATTCTTTCAGTTCTGGTGCAGAAAAGAGTGTTTGTAGAGCTGGGCTGGTTTATTCCATTGGGCAGAGTTGGGATGTTTTAATTTATTGGGCAGAGCTGGGCTGTTTTATTCCATAGAGCAGAGCTGGGCTGGTTTATTTCACTGAATAAACCCAGAGCAGAGCCACTTTTATATCACTGGGCAGAGCTGGGATGTTTTATTCCATGGGGCAGAGCCACTTTTATCCCATTGGGCAGAGCTGGGCTGTTTTATTTAACTGGGCAGAGCTTGGCTGGTTTATTCCATGGGGCAGAGCTGGGATATTTTATTTCATTGGGCAGAGCCACTTTTATTCCATAGAAGTTTTATTATATTGGGCAGAGTTGGGCTCTTTTATTCCATTGGCTGGGCTGTTTTATTTCATGGGGCAGAGCTGGGCTGGTTTATTCCATTAGGCAGAGCCACTTTTATTCCATTGGGCAGAGCTGGGATGTTTTATTCCATTGGCTGGGCTGTTTTATTCCACTGGGCAGAGCTGGGATGTTTTATTTCACTCGGCAGAGCCTCTTTAATTCCATTGTGCAGAGCTGGGGCTGTTTTATTCAGCCTGCTCTGAGCTGAGGCAGGGTGGTTCTTAGGGAATGAGCTACCCTGTGTTCCAGGGAGCTCCAGAGCTGGCTGTTAGCACATTAAAAATCGTATTAATAATAATAACCACGTTCTGTCAGGATGGTGGCCCTGTAGCACAAAGGAGAGCAGTGTTTTGTGATGATGGAGCCTTGCAAACTGCCCTGGTGCATGAGCTCAAACCTGGAATAAGCTCTAACTAAAGCCTGGCAGAAGGCAAGCAAGTTCAGCTTGAGCAATGCTGTTTGCTCCAGTGGTAACAAAATATAGAGAATTTATAGGTAAAAAGGTGATTCACATACTGTGCTATTTAATAAATGAAACCTGCAAATATTCCTCAATTAAATACCTTAATTGAGTTTCAGTCTGCACAGAATTGCTGTTCATCCAGAATTGCTGTTCACACAAACCTTCTCTGTGTGCTACTGTGAGGTTTTGGTCAATAATGCTGACTCTGATGACTTGTCCTGCCCACTGTGGAAGCAAACCTCATTTTATTTTATTTTATTTTATTTTATTTTATTTTATTTTATTTTATTTTATTTTATTTTAATTTATTTTATTTTATTTTATTTTAATCATCCCAGCAGTCACACCTGTGTTCCCAGACTGTGCCAGCAGATACAGCCACCACCAGTTTGCCCCTTGCAGGCAGGATGCAGTGACAGTTTCTGGAGTGTCCCAAACCCATTTTGGGAGTGCTGCCTGCGTGTTTCATTTTGATAGCTGACATTGTTAGCAGCTGTGGTGTTATTTATGCAGTTTGATGGAGTTTGTGGCTAAGCATGACACAGTGGCCCTGCCAGATAAACACTGAATGTTGCTTTTGACCCTCAGTTAGTTCCAGCTGTCCCCTTTGCAGGGGGTTTTTTTCCCAGAAAAACCCCAGATGGATGAAAAGTTATAAATGCAACGCTGTTTTGGTAGAATGTGAACTACTGCCATGGAAGAGATTCCCTCCTCTTTCCTCTTATAAGGACAGAAAACTTCTCTCAATTATTTTTTTCCTGTGCATCCTGTGTATTCTGTGCACCTTATTTGATGTGTTGCTTGGTATAAGCAGAAATGTTAAGGACAGAAAACTTCTCTTAATAATTTTTTTTCCTGTATTCTGTGCATCTTATTTGATGTGTTGGTTGGTGTAAGCAGAAATGTTCACTGATTGCTCATTTTAAAAATATTTGTACTATTGAAGCCATGTGGTAAAGCAGTTAACTATTCCATGCATATCTAGTTTATAGGCACAGTAATAAGAGAGTGATAAGCTTTTAGTGTGAATGATTTATTTCATTTTGGGGAAACAAAAAATGTCATGTAGGAAATTCCATGAGAGATGGCAGAGTGCATTTCTTCTGTAATATTCTGCATTTGTACAGAATGGTGGTTGTCTTTTAAAACACTGAAAAGCTCAGTCCAGGGGAAATATTCTAAAATTATGTCCAAAGGACAAGTTCTGGAAATATCTTAGAAATTTAATCAGAAATATTTAAAAAGAAATTTGATCTCATGAAAGAGATCAAATTTGGGTCAATATGAATGTTCAATAAGCATCCATTATTTCAGTTTCACACAGAATACTTTATCATTGTTCACACTCCAGGAAATGCCATAAGATTTAAAATTATTTTGCTGATTATATTGTCATTCCCAGTCCATCGTTAACTGTATTCAATCAGGGATGCATTCAGTGTCTGCTCTGTGTAATCTGGGTGCTTTTGAAGCTCCTGAACCTGAGGAAGAGGGGTGAGTTTTTCTGCACACAGGAATGGTCCTGCCAAGCCCCCTGGGACACCGAGAGATGCTGATGGGCTGTAAACTCCCAGTGGGAAAAGATTGTTAAAATAGTACAATTGGTGTTCATCTCCATTTATTAACAAGTGCAGGGGTGCAAATCTTTTTTCTATAAGAACTGAGAATTCAGTGGGAAAATGGAAAGTTAAATGATTTTTAAAACTGTGGAATCTGCACATGAGCAGATGGCGGCAGGGTGGAAGTTTGTGACGGTGTTCACAGGGATTCTTGGATGAGGGAAGAGATGAGGATCTGACTCCATGTTTCAGAAGGCTGATTTATTATTTTATGATATATATTACATTGAAACTATACTAAAAGAATAGAAGAAAAGGTTTCATCAGAAGGCTAGCTAAGCTAAGAATAGAAAGGAATGATAACAAAGGTTTGTGGCTCAGACAAAGAGCCCGACCCAGCTGACTGTGATTGGCCATTAATTAGAAACAACCACATGAGACCAATCACAGATGCACCTGTTGCATGCCACAGCAGCAGATAACCATTGTTTACATTTTGTTCCTGAGGCCTCCCAGCTTCTCAGGAGGAAAAATCCTAAGGAAAGGATTTTTCCTGAAAGATGTCTGCAACAGAAGTTGTCTGTCCAAACTTCACCAAGCTTCTTTTTGGACAAAAATTAAATCCAGCTCTCCTGAGAACCCAAACTTTGGGCTTTCTTAGCACTGACTATTCAAACCAGTGCTGCCAGTGCACATTTGTTGTGGAGGAGTTTGGAGTTTCTTTCCCAGGGCAGGGAAGAGCTCACAGTAGCTTGTGGGTTTTGGGGATGCTCCTCCTCAGCCGCCGGCTCCCGAGGCGGAGCTGGCACACCAGCTTTTTGGAGAACTTCAGAGCCCACGCCACTAGAAGGAGGGTAATTACTGCCCCAGCAATTAAAATGAGGTCTCTCCAGAAGAACTGGAGACACTTGGTCGGGAGAAGCCTGGTGCAGACACCCAGGTCATTCCCAGTCAGCTGCCCCAGGGGCTTCATCCTGAGCGGAGCGGGGCTGGCGCAGCGCAGCCGGGCGAGCACGGGCGCGGAGAAATCCTGCAGCCACAGCTTCGGGTACAGGATGTGACAGTCACAGTGCCAGGGGTTGTCCCACAGCCGCAGCTCCTGCAGGTGGCCCAGGCTGTCCAGGGCCCCGGCGGGGATGGAGGCCAGGCTGTTGTTGTGCAGGTGCAGGATGCGGGTCAGGCGGGGCAGGGCGGGCAGGGCGCGCAGCCCCCGAGAGCTGCAGTCCACCCCTGTCCCCCAGGGCTCCCCCAGGGACCAGCAGCTGCACTGGGATGGACAATCCTCCCCCAGCACCGTGGGGAGCAGCAGGGCACAGCCCAGCACGGACAGCAGCTCCATCTCCAGCTGCACAAACAACAAGAAGTGAGGTTTATTAGTGCGGTTCCACAGCGGTTATTGCTCGCCCAGGTTTAGGTTTCTGGAATAAAATCTTTGTGGAAGAGGTTTTACAGTGACGTCTGTGAGTCATCGAGAAAAGTTTGACAAGAGGATCCATGTTTACCCCTGAAAGAATTCCCTACCAAGGTTGGTGACATAGAAACCAAGAAAGAAAGAAGGGTAAATAAGTGAAATCTGCAACTGCTTATTCCAAGAAGCACTTTGCTTGTCTCTCCTGACCAGTGAGTGAAGTGTGAACTTATGAGCTTTGTAAGAATGTAGAACAAGCATGCATGCTAGAATAAAAACAGTGTTTGAAGCCTTCTGGAAACAGAGTGTGTTGCTTTGTATTCTCTCTGTCTCAACTATGACAAATGTTTAGCTTTCTGTATGTCCCACAGAATCACTCTCCCCAACTTCAGCACAAACACTGAAGACAGAGCACAGTTCTTCCCTTTCCTCTCTGGTTCATTGTTTTCCCTTCATAATTGTACAAAAAATATTATTGATCGAAATTCTGGGCCAGAACGTCACCAGGAGTTGACGGGGAAAACCAGTTTAGTTTTAGGCAAAGGTTTCTATTCTGCTTTTATATTATCATAGATCTAGAGTTAAAATTGTGTGTTTAAACCAGTTTTCAAACTGAAACTTAAGGGATTGAATAATTGTAAATGTCTGAAAATCTTCTTTCTTTCTGAAGCTGAAATACTCATCTTACCCATCTCCTGTGTATTTGTCAGTGAGTTGACAAATACTCTGTGGTTCCTCTTTGTGTCCTGTGCCACCTATTGCTTATTTTTTTCTCCCACATGTTCCTCTGTAACTGCCCAGACTTAACTCTGCTCTTGACAGTCATCATTTACCTTCTGTATTGTGCTTCTACCCACCTCCCCACCCCCAGTTTTTTTTTGCTAGGATGGTTCATTAACCAATTTTTGACATTGGTACATACACTACATTTTGTTTTGTTCACCCTTAAAGCCTACTGCAGCTGTTAAGATAAACTGAAATCTAGGACTGGGTATTCTGAGTATCTTTGCTCTGAACCCAGATACTCATCTGTGATTTTTCAAGAAATCTACCAGAGCTCTTTTTCCCAAAGTAAAAGGACAGACTATGACAGCTGGCTAAAAGAAGTTAATTGTTATTTATGGAAAAGATGCTCTCTTCTGATTAAATATAGAAGCAGCAAGAAACCCAAACTCAAAGAGAAACCAGAACTGGGTCAGAAATGCAGAAGGGAGAGCTGGGGAGGTGCTGGCTGACACTTACCCTGTCTGGCCCCTGTCCCTGTGCTGCAGTGGGGCTGGCAGGGCAGGCTGAGTGCTCAGAGTCCCAGGGAAGTGTGGCAGGGCAGCTTTTCCTGTGCAGGATGGGGCAGCAGCCCAGAGCTGCTATTTATGGTTGTGTTGTGGCATCAAGTGCTTGGGGTGGGTCTGGTGCTTGCTGCAGGCAAGAGGAAATGCTTTGGGATTCTTTTTTGTTCCTAATGTATTTTTCCTACTGCATCTGACAGGATCTGGAAAAACTCATCTGAAATTTGTGGGTTTTTTTTATCTCCAGAAAATCTCCAGGTATAAAAGTAATTTTGGGCCTGAGCTGCTGAGACACACAAGCCCCAGCAGATGAGGGGGGTGAAGTTTGCCTGTGAAATTGAGTTTTTCTGTATTAGTCAGCCAGGTTTGTTTAATATCTGCCTTTTCACCATTTAATAAAACTTATAAAAGGACACCATAACATCAAAATAACCATGGTAGGCAGGTGACATCATTAAGGGATAGAGAAAGACAGGAACAGAGAAAGGAAATATTAATGACATGGAATTGAAAGAGATGAAATTGTGTTGAAGTCACCCAAAATATAGTGTTTATTTTGGTAACTCATGTTCAAAAATGATAACTCAAACTACTGAAAGGAAGGTTTCTGAAATAGCTGTGTGTATTTCCCTGCAAAGCCAGTAAATTAGGGTCATACAAGTTTGTAATATGCATGTATCTGTTCATCTGAACACAGAATGCCATGTCTGTGTGAAAGGAAAGAAAACACAGGATTTACTTTTCAATTTCATTGTGTGTGCAAAGTTTTGGATGTGAGTTTTCCTTTGCTTTAGGTACCAGCCATGAGCACACAAGAATTCTGATGGCAGCTGGCACTTGGAAACCCAGCTGGTTGTGGGTCTGCTGTTCCAGTCAGGCCAGTTCTGGGCAGTGTTGGTTTGGGGACAGGCTTGGAGCTCTGTTCTGCTTTTGGAAACGAGGCCCAGGTGAGGTTTTCATGCTGCAGATGTGCAGCAGACCTGTGGTTTTGAGCTGTCCTTTCTTTATAACTGGCTGCTCCTGGGAGGAAAGGTAATTTCTGGTGTATAAATTATCCTGGCAGCAATTCTTCATGTCTAATTTTTACTTATTTTTAAAGGACTTTTCTTCATTAGGTCTAATGAGTTACCAGGAGCTGGAACTTCGTTAAGAACTTCCTTAAGAAAATGCTTTACTGTGTATCTCTGCTCTTTGGCATTTGAAAAGACAATTCAGACAGTGCCAGGGGGAAAAGACAAAAACACTTCAAAGCCTGTTAGAATTTTGATCTTTTCAATGAGATGAGGAGATGATTCCTCCTGTGCTGAGGTGAGCAGTTCATCACTCCTGTCAGGTGGGGATGGCCGTGGGTGCACTGCTCATGGTGCTTCCATCCTCAGGTGCTTCCCCTGCCTCTGGGGAGCACATCCATGGATGTCTGTGTGCCCTGTGCCTGCACAGCCTGTGCCTCTGTGCTTCCCCTGCCTCTGGGGAGCACATCCATGATTCCATGAATGTCTGTGTGCTCCCTGCCTCTGGGGAGCACATCCATGATTCCATGGATGTCTGTGTGCCCTGTGCCTGCACAGCCTGTGCCTCTGTGCTTCCCCTGCCTCTGGGGAGCACATCTATGATTCCATGAATGTCTGTGCTTCCCCTGCCTCTGGGGAGCACATCCATGATTCCATGGATGTCTGTGTGCCCTGTGCCTGCACAGCCTGTGCCTCTGTGCTTCCCCTGCCTCTGGGGAGCACATCCATGATTCCATGAATGTCTGTGTGCTCCCTGCCTCTGGGGAGCACATCCATGATTCCATGGATGTCTGTGTGCCCTATGCCTGCTCAGCCTGTGCCTCTGCACCTTCAGGAGTGCTGCCACAGGATCAAAACCTTCCTGTCTCACAGTGAAATCAAATGCTGTGTTCTTCTGCACAGACAGCATCTAGATGCCTGGACTCCACACTCCCATTCTGTGCTGTCCTGTCCTGGATTGTCAAGCAAATTGTATTTTATTTACCACCTGTAAGGCAGTTGTCTTGTGTTCAGTGGGCAGTTTCCCTTATCTCTCCCACAACTGGGGAGACACCTGCTGATAACAGCTACTGAATGTCACTGCATGGCTGATAAGAACTACAGCATCCCATGGGGATATGTGAGCCCAGAGGGAGGAGCCAAGCATTGCTACCTGGATATAATCTGGAGATTCTGCAACACCAGCACAGCTTCCCCACTGGATTTCCCAGAGGAACAGCAGCTGCCTCTGCCCCTGGATCTTCAGAGGAAGAGACTGCACCTTTCTACAGGATTCCTGCTCCAACAGAACCACACCTGACACTGCAGGAGGACTGCAGCCAAATTTCCAATTGGACTGCTACCAACACCCTGACGCACAGGATGTCAGGTTGTGTTCTGACTCTGTCAGTGTTGTTTTAGTTTACTGCATTGCTTATCCTTTTATTTTCTTCCCTATTAAAGAACTGCTATTTCCTGCTCCCATATTTTTGCCTGAGAGCCCCTTAATTTAAAATTTATAACAATTATAACAATTCTGAAGGTGGGGGGTTACATTTCAGGGGAGGCTCCTGCCTTCCTTAGCAGACTCCTGTCTTTCCAAACCAAGATATATTCTCAGTTAGTCCTGTGTTCCTCCAGGTGTCCTGGGGGTGGCAGAGGTGCCCAGATGTGCCCAGCTGTTCCTGCTGAGTCCCCAGCCCTGTCTCCTGGCTAGTGCTCCAGCTCCCTGAGGAGCTCAGGGTGTGCAGGGAGTGGCTGCCAGAAGCACCAGGCATTTGCATTTCTGATTTTAGGGCTTTTTGTAGGCCGAATGAGGATTCTTCATTTAAGAGGATTTATTAAGAGCCAATTTGGAAAAAAAAAAAAGTTATAATCTGCTATAATCTTGTTAGGGTATGAAAGTAAATTTTTTTTCCACAGAGAGAATCCATGTGAAGTTTTTGTGAGCGAGAGAGGCTCTGTCTCCTCTCAGTGGAGAGGGATTTCTGGACACCCTCATGTCCCAGACAACCCCTCTCTCCTCACCGCTCCCTTGAAGCCCTTTTCTCTGGATCAGCTCTCCCTGGAGGCCTTGGCTCCTGCAGTGAGCTCTGTGGGGCTGTGTGTGATCATCCAGGGAGTAAAAGGGCTGAGGGAGATTACTGCTCTCCTCCTGCTTCAGAATAAAAGCTGCAAGCTGGAGATAAATGAGCAGATCAAACGTGTGACCTGCTGGGAGCAAACTCAGCCACAAGATGCCATTATCTTTTCTAGTCCCTTTTAAGGAGTTCCAGGTGTTTATTGCTGACAGTGACCTCTTCTTGACCAAGGAAGGCAGAAGTTTTCTCAAGCACTGTTTCCATTCCCAGAGCTGAAAAAAGTGCCCACCTCACACTGCTAATGCACAGCTTCTCATTTAAAATCCCTCACCTTGATTAATTCTGCTCTTCTGTACTTTCAAATAGGTTTTGGTGAGAGCAGACAAACCAAAATAGATTTTTGTAATTGGATGTGAGTCACTGGTAATTAATGAATTCTACAAATAAGCAAGAAGGATTAAAAAAAAATCAATCACAAAATTCATTCTCACATCAAGGAATATTGCTGGCAGAAATGAATTAAAGAAAAACTGTGGTTTCTCTCAATGCAGGAGCTATTATTGCCTGAAGGCCAA